CAAGACGAGAAATTTCTATGAAATTCTGTTGAAGCGATATATCAAAAACAAAATCAATGCAAACCTTTTCTCCTACTCGTTAGTTAATTTTAATTCTATTGGTGATGCTTATTTATGGTGCATCACTATGTGGAGAACAACCTTAAATTTAAACTACTTACAATCTGCTTTCTCCGACAGCAATCAACCTTGAACACTAAGTTTTTTGCGAGTTTCTTAAAAAATTTATTTTGCGCATATTGATTAGTATCTCACTGTTATACAACACATATAGATCGTTAACAAGATAATCGTAGGGAAAAAAACCTGGCATTTGATTTTAAGTGACGCATTACCTGGTTCACAGAGGGAATTAAAACTAATTTGATGCAAGAAAGTATGAATGGTCCGTTCTGAGAGAGAAAGAGAAATGACAACAATCTTTTCTCGGGATAATTTCTCGCATATTCATCGTGTATATATTTCACGATTGACAAAATCTTTGACTTCGACACCTGTGGATCTTTCGGTCGTATAATTATAAAATTTCTACAGAAAAATGATTAATGACGAGTATTGCGAAGTAGTTATCTATTAGCTTTATTCAAAGAACGCACAAAACTACAGAAGATAGATTCATTACATTGCATATTGTAATTTTGTTTACAATTGACATTCTAGAAAAAAATATTATGTCGATCTCATATTTTTGAAACAATTTTGTTCGTAGATGTTGCGTTTGAGTACAAGATTACACTATATTTTAAGTCTAACATGAAAAAATCTTGACTATGAATTGCTATAAGAAAGAAACAAGCGACTGAATTTGTATGTCAAAAGTATATTAAGAAATGTTGCTGATTTAAATTTATTATATTTTGTTGGTCGCATTACTATTGATAAATAGATATTGAACTGAATCAAATTTTAAGTAGAGTAAAACCGAACTGAGCAATTCTGATTTAAATTTATTAAAAAAAACGCAAGTAAAGTCTATTGAAATTTGATTGGCTTGAGTCAGATATTCACCATTCTTTATCTGTATCTCTTGACGTAGTGACTACGATTCAAATGACTATCACTACGATCTCACGGACGGTAGATGTGTTCGGAACGACCAAATAATTAACATGGATGACGACAAGTTCTGTTAGACATGATATCTTTATTCGAGATATCTTTGTATGATTTCAATGGTTCATTCTGTCTCTTAGTGACAACTTGTGCGAACCTTGCAGTTATCTGTACTATATAAGTAAAATCACCTCTATCATCTGTCCTTTTCACTCTAGAATATTGTCAGTTTTGAACTTCTTCTATGAAGAAATATTTTTGTTAATCTATTCAGAAAAATGTGGACCTATATTTTCATGTGTATGTTTTTATTATGACAACCCATGTCGTGAAAATCGCTGAAAAATTGGTGTTTAATCGCGATTTATCGAAACGATAATCGTGAGCTAAAATGCGATTAATCGCCGATTTTTAATGATATGTTTAGTGATTATTAAGATAAATCGCGATTTGTTTTCCGATTTTTTACATATTAACGATTTATTCCCAATCTGATCTGATACTATCATGATTTCACAGAAATTTTATTTATTTTAACTTCATCTATTTGTTAAATTTATTTTGATTTAAAAACATTTACTATTTTGATCACGCTTAAAGTAAAAGTAACAAAAAACCGAAAAAAAAACAAATGATTACCTTTTCATTGTTTTTCCAAACCTCTCATGAAGTTTCACAAAAAAAAGAAAAAAAGTGTGTGTTAGAATACTTATGTACTACCATAGATAACAGATAGAAATGTAGATATGAATAATCAATGAGATTCAGAAAGATAGCATTTCGATGTTAGGAAAACTATAGAAACTGGTTCAGACATACTAGATTCAAGTGAAAGAAGTATAATATGAATCAAATCTATATATGCGTATGAAACACAATGCCGAATGCCATAATCAAAAGTTAATTATAATTATCAAAATAGCTTCAATAGTAAAAAAAATCCAATTTCAATATATTTTTTTCTAATTTTCATATTTATTAAAACTGTCTATTGATTACTCAGATGCTAAAATTTTCATGTAATGATGACATCGATAGTGTTCAGTGTTTTCAAAATCATTGTCAAAATTATTATTATATAGAAGAGAAAAATGTAGTAGCGTATTTTAGAACCTACTGAGGGAAAAAAATATCTGATTCAGTGACATCTTTTCAAAATTTTACCTGAATTTTTTCTGTTAAGACTTGATATATTTGAGCACCAGTATCCAAATTGTTACCAGCAAATCCGCTGTTAAACGAAATCCAAATTGAACAGAATCTATAGTAAAAACAAAAATAGTTGCGTGGTGCAGTTGAAATGGTTTACCTCTAATGATTCCAACCTGATTATCTGTGTCAAAGCAAGGTGGATCCATATAAAGAATTTTTTCCTTCTTTGAATATTCGATCAAAAAATCTTTAATACAATTTACTTGTATTTTCTTTATCACGTGAAATCAGCAAGAGGCCAATTTTTCCCCGCTACTAATGTTGAAAATCAAGAGAAAAAGGTTAGAAAGAAATATAATACATTCCTACTTACAAGATTGCCTGGATTAAAAATCCATATTGATACTTCGGTCCTGTCTTATCAAACAATACTAGTTTAGTCTAAAAGAGAACTAAACACTTGACTCAAATCAGTTTTCTTTACTTTATGATTTCGCATTGCCTTAGCTATTTTGTTCCAATTGTTTAAAATGAAGCTGAATATTTTTTTATGTTGATTGAACGAAATATGATTATGACGAGCTCTAGTATATGAATGCATTATAACCATTAACCCTTGACTAAAAACTTGATTATGTGCCACAGAAAGAATCTATATATATATAATTAAAACTAGCATAAACATCTGATATGAATGAAATTTAACTTTCGAGTATGATTTCAGAACGGATTAAAATAATGAGCAGAACAATGATCTTTGTCTGGATTATCCAATCAAATGAAAGATTGGGTGTGGGTGTGAGTATCGATGCAAAGAAGACCCACGCCCACACCCACAACCACGCCCACGCCCACACCCACAGCCACCCACACCCACACCCACACCCACACCCACACCCAAACACCCTCATCGACACCCGCCCACACCCCAGACCCAGATCCAGACCCACACCCCTCATGTGTAGCTAAAGCTGATTTTGAATCAGACCGTTGATACGAAATTCGTACAAACAGTCCGCCCTCTCCATCATGTTGAATCACATTCAATTGCTCAGCAAGTTTATCTTGAGTAGTATATTTTTTCCTTCAACCGATCCGAGCTCCTACATTGTGTGGAATTAGTTGAACTCGTGTAGGTTGTTAATTCATCACTAGATTTATTGTTAACCTCTAATCCTAGATAGCCATGTTCTATCATCCTTCTGATTGTCTGTCTTGTGGTTTGTCTGATATAATTAGACGAACAATCATTACTTGTGAGATGGTACATGATTTCCGATTGCATGTTTTTAGGTATACGATCTGTTTTATTGAAGTAATGCGCTACGGTAGGAGGTGGTTAAGGCACTGCTAATAATTGAGTGTTGGGTTTTTTCTTTCTTATGATTTGTCGTAGGCGTCGAATGAACTGTTTGATAGAAGTATATACATAAGGTACTTTTATCATAGCAAATTCAGTTTTTTCATCAGATTTAGATTTATTGGTTTTGGTTGTTATTATTGGAGGTTCTTGGTCCTTAAAAAAAAGTTCTATTTAAGGTGTTTCTTATTTGTTCTTCAATGAATTCTATAGAATATCCGTTCTTCAGGGCTGTTTCTCTAATAAATTCAATTTCTTCATGTAATAATTACTTTGTAAGTTGAGCCGATTTTAACCGCTCGATAAATCTTATTGCTGATGGCTGATACCTTGTAGCCTCGAGTAACATAGGAATTCCACTGGATTAGTAATCCGGTGAAACTTTTCTTTCTATAGGCAGTGGTACTAAATGAGTGATCACCGCTTAAAATAAGCACATAAAAAAAGAATAGTTGTTTATCTTGTTCTGAGGTTAATATAAATTGAATTTCTTTATGAAAACTATTTAATATCAATTTAATTTGTTCTATATTAGCATCATCATCAATCAAAAGGAAGGTATCATCAACGTATCGTTTATAGGCCATAACATCCGTATTTGTCCGCTCGGGAAGTAGTTGTTCCTCGAAATGTATCATAAATATGTCAGCTATGATTGGTGCTAGGGGGAACCCATGGAAACACCATTGAATTGCTGACACATTTTACCATCAAACAGAAAATGGGTATTCTGAGTTGCCATATCTAAAAGGGTCTTCATATCATGGCGATCCAAACCGTTGTTACACCAATTTGCTCTTTTAATTCTGGGTTTCTTAGTAATGCGCTCGTGCTCCTCTTCGTATTACGTATCGAGAATGATTTGAATGATCTATTTCAGTGGGACCTTCGTAAAAAGTCTCGTAATATCAAATGAGAAAACTAAATGTGTCTTTTAATGTGTTGTTATTAGTTCTTAAATGAGATAATCTTCCTGTAAGTAATTGTCCAATACCATAATTAAAGTTTTCAACACCTGACACGATCGGTCTTCAAGGCAAATCGGTTTTAAGAATTTTGGAAAGTCCATATATCCTTGCAGGTCTGAGCCTTTTGGTTTAAACTTAAGAACTTCTTGTGCGGTAATAAACCCCCTGGTTCTCATTTTTTTGAGCACTCTTATTAGTTGTTCTTTCTTTTTTAACGTTGGATCATCTTTAATGCATTTAAAGATTGTCGTATTATTTAAAATTATTTGCATTTTGTTATTGTGATCATCATGCTCTAACAAGACCACACCTTTGTCTTTATCTAGTTTGGTGATATAAATTGTTTTATCTTTAGCAAGATTCTTTAAAACCCTATGTAATTCGATTAGTTCTTTTCATTTGTTTATTTTCACTTCGGAATCTACATGCCGGTAAAACCTTTCAGACAAACATCTTAATTTCTTGGCTCATGCTAATTGGTGAGGAGTTAAATTACGTACAGCTTCATCGTCGACCTTCTTTTCTTCGCAATCATCCTTATCAATTGTATAGCCTAACATTGATGTAAAAAGGGCTTCTATATTTGCAATAAATGATTCATCATCAAAACGTATCATAGGTAAAACAAAATCAAGACCATTAATTAAAGCATTTTTTTTCCTTTTGTGTTAAAACCTTATTAGATAAGTTCATGATAGAATCTCATCTTGAATTTTGCATTAAACTATTGTTTCTAAAGTTATCGCTTAAGGTATTTAATTTCCTTTTATAACATTTTCCAAAAGCAATCCTTGATCGCTTCATTGACTCTTGGATACTATGGAAACTTTAAATTAAACAAGGCTGTGGGTACGTGAGTGTGAATAGGCAATAGAATACCTACACGCACATCCATCCGCCATACCCATCCACATCCTCTTAATTAAAAAAATTCAAATAGCTTTGATGAAATCACTCTCTTTTTACAAGATGGTGTCAACATCAGTATGAGCTGTCCTCATATGACATCTATCTTTGATACTTTGTTTATAAGATAGTGGTTATATGTATGCGTCAATAGATTTTCTTTTCTGTTCTTTTGCATACTAGAAGGTGTCCTTCTTCTACGATTGTATCACGTTTGCTTATCTTTCTTTTTTCTTTCTATAAAAGTGATTGCGTATGCATTAATAGGGTATGTAAATACAGGTCATTTTATTATTGTTTGATTGTGAATTTACTGAAAATAACCGAATAAAATGATCGAAATATCCAACGAAGAAAATTAAATCAGTAATATTGCTTCACCTACTCAAATACCTCAATAACCGGAATACTGCATAATTTCGATACCCATAGCCGCTCATACATATGCACAATACCTACATTGCATAGTTCGTTGTCCTACTACTTGTGTATGCCCATAAATATGTAAACTAATGATTAACAGATTATCGATAATGATTGTCAAAAATAGAGAGTATATTGAAACGAATATTATCACAATTAAAAAAAAGGATCAGTTCAACACCATTTCTTTCGTCATATGCACAGTAACAACGAAGAGTATTGCAAATTAGTATTTATTTGTAATTTTGCCTTTGACTCCCTAGAAATTTGCACTGAGAACTAGTCAGATCTAGTTAAAAAAACGCACTAAATCGTCTGGTAACTTTTGAAGTAAAATGAAAGGAAAATATACAAGTTTTCAAAATAAGAAGAAAATATCGAATGTTGTGTAATTTGCATAAGTACAAAATTTGTAAAGCAATGTAAAGCAGTCCCTTTAAGAAGGTGTGGAATTTCAGAAATTTTGATAGTTATGAGGTTTCAGGAATAGCGACATTTTTGGAAAACTTAACGCTATTAAAGTGACGAAAGCAGTCTTTTACATTGTAACAAAAAGAAGGCTTATTTGATTACGAAAAATTCACCTCTACTATTGTTTAACCTAACAAATCATAAGATAAAAAAAGATAAACAAAAATAACAATTTGTAGGGAACAAAATGACCTATCTTTTGACCATTGAATCTTCAGTATACGTTGATTTATTATAAAAGAGCTGGCAGTATAGTATTGGTTCATTTAACACCATACTTAAGCAGATTTTGCTTCCTACTAACCGTTATGCTCTTCTTCTTAGAATGCATGTCAAAAAATTCGAGAGTGTAAGCTACTTGCTAGAAAAAAAATGTTGCTTTCGACTATTAAAGACCACATTGCTTGGTATGTGAAGAGTTTCACATTGTTATACTGTGAGAGAACCATGTAATCTTTCTTATGTCTTTTCTCTCTTTCTCAAGTTTTACTATTCAACATGTCTCCTAAGGCTCTCATCACTGGTGCTGCTCGAGGAATTGGACGTGCCATTGCTCTTCGCTTTGCTAGAGATGGTCTCAATGTTGCTGTCAATGATATTGAAGCAAGCTCTTCAGATCTCAGCAAGGTTCAACAAGAAATCGAAAAAATGGGTCGAAAATCTGTTGCTCTTATTGCTGATGTTTCCATCGATAAAGCAGTCGAAACAATGATGCAAAAAGCTGCAAAAGAACTAGGGAGTTTAAACGTAAGCAGTTCTTTTTTCTCGACTCTTTCATTTTTTTTCAAGCTAATAGTGTAGGTCGTAGTCGCTAATGCAGGAATTGTCCAAGTGAAACCAATTCTTGATATTACTACAGAAGATTGGGACAAGATGTTTGCAACTAATATGCGAGGTGTGTTTCTTTGCTACAAAGAGGCTGCTAAAATCATGATTGCGTAAGGCACGGGAGGCAAAATCATTGGTGCCTGCAGTGTCGCCGGATACACATCAGCTCCAATGATGGGACATTACTCTGCGACTAAATGGGGTGTACGTGGCCTTACACAAGCTGCTGCCATGGAATGGGCTAAACACAAGATTACAGTCAATGCTTACTGTCCAGGTAAGTTTCATTCCTTTTATTAAAAATACGAATCTAACGAACAAAACAGGACTTGTTCAAACTGCATAGTGGGATAAGATTGATGGCGAATTGACAAAAATCAAAGGAAAACCAAAGGGCAAGGTCACTGAATATTACGTAAACAACATGATAGCTCTTGGCCGTGCAGGTGAGCCTGAAGATGTCGCAAGTCTTGTGTCATATTTGGCTAGCAAAGACTCTGATTATATGACTGGACAGTGTGTTATCATTGATGGAGGGTACAGGTTTTCTTGATTTCAAGTTACATTAGTCTCAAAAAAGGACTCAATTCATACATGTCTTGTATCAAAACTTTTTATTTATATTAACATCATCCAACATCTATGAAAAATGCAACATATTTAGTGTATTTTCTGACACATCAAAGTTCTACGTACTCATAATCTTTTCATTCGTTTGTAGAATGTACTTGTGTGTAAGGATGTGGATGTGATGATTTTCATTTCAACCACACCCTAAGAGTATGAAATCTTCATTGCTAAAATTGTGGAACGCGCACATCCATTACAGTTAAAAGTGATACTTGTCAATTTTATTGAGAAGTTTCGACAAGTCAAAGTGTTATATCTGAATTGAATGGATCCATTAAAATCAAAGAATCTTTATTTCTTTGTATTTATCTCTAAGACTTTTAAGTATCGAACTTGACTCCCTCAGAAATAGTGCTGCAACCGCTCAATAATCATTTTCAACTCTGTCGAATCGTCTTGAAAGAGTTGATGATATTCATTAACGTAAGCACAGACAACAAAACTAAAGAAGATTGCGATACCTAATATGCTTTCTGAAATAAAATATTCAAATCTTCTGATCTACTTCTTATAAAATCTATTTGCTTCAAATGATTTCAACTCGTCGACTATACGTTCATTCTTTCTAAAATCAAAAATTTACTTTAGAATATTTTTTTTTGAAAAAAACCCTTGGTAGTCGTTATCAAATGACTTTTGTATCATACTTTCTATGTAGTGGACTCAGTTTTGCAGTGAGTGAATCGAAGGATAATTAACGAACAGAATGTGTTGTCTCTATGGAAACATTCCAGGAATACCCCATAAATATCAACCGATAAACGATTCGTCGCATTTACCAATTGAATGTTATTTGAAATAAAGTTTTACACAGAGTTAGAATCGGTTCATGTTGTTTTTGGAACCGAATCGAACTGATTCAGTTTTTAAAAAGTTTGAACCGTAAGCTCAATTACTAAAAATACATAATGTGGCATAAAAATAATTGCTTTAGTAGTTTAAGAAACTGTAAAAGAAAAGTCTGTGTTAGCTACGAATATTTCATTTTTACGTATTCCTTCCAAACACAAGCTATTAGATGCTTGTCTCCATTTTGGAGCATCTTCTGCCCATCCTCTTCTTGTGAAACCTGAGTCACTACTAACATCAATAAAGTTCACTCCTAAGGCCGAAATATGACCCATAAAAGCCACTATAAGACAAAGTAAGCATAGGATTTAGTCCTATGCAATAATCCAAAAAGTGTTTTATCATTTTCATCGAGTGTGATGCGATGTGGGAGTGGATGTGGATACTAATTCTCTCTCCACATCCAATAACACCCATACCCACACCTTTTCTATGGAAAAAGATAAGATTGTCTTTGTTTTCATCCATCGTGGGTGTGTTTCCCGTTCATTTGTTCTTACGCGACATTGACACCGATACCCACACTCTCCGAAGATATAAGTTCCACCGATCATTGTAAAGCTACGATAATGAAATATCCTTTTGACGATTCTCTCGCCTGTAACAATATCTGCAGTTACCTTCACCACAATTTATTCATGTTCATCTGACAATCATCATATCATTACAAGATAACGGGATCATTTTTGATAGAGTCTAAATCTCAATAATCAGTATGAGATAATTTTCATTTGACCAGGGGTACTTATTTTGCCGTGACAACCAGTGCATATAGAAAAGCTTTGTTTCAAATAGGTCGAATGCTCTTTACCGAACATCTCTGTTGAGATTGGCTTATTATTTTGCTCCAAACAACATTACTCGGCAGTGTTTCTAATGGCAAGTGTACACAATAAAGGCAAAGTGTACAATGTACACTTTGTAGAAGAGATTTTAAATCTATTGTTAGCTCAAAAACTATGTTCAAGCCATGAATAGATTGTGAGCTACTCTTTTATTTTTTCTAGTATTCTTTGAATGGCATCCTTTTTTTTGACTTTGTTATCTTTTTTCCTTTTCAGATTTATGTCGGTTTGAACCTGGTACTTATGTGATAGCTATGGAAAAAATTGAAAATTACAATATTTGATTCAGTTTTGTTCAAATCATGCTGATGTTCCTAATGATGAAGACGATCATGATCGATCATTTATGATTATTTCATATTTTCGAGAATAGTAAATGGAGGTTCTCGTGTTTACGTGCTGTTTTAACATTGTATTTTTGTGTGGTGAATCTTTATAAATGAATCCGATACTAATTGCTTATTTACTTGTTCTCTATTTGCTTATTATTGATCTTTCTTCTTACTTGGTAAATCAAATATGAACATTTTTTTAACATTTCTTTGTATTATATAAAATTTCAACACTGTACGTTTTGCTTATGAAAACAAGTGTAATTGTACACTTTGCTCATTTAAAACAGCGTGGATTGTACATTTCGTTGTAGATTTTCATTTAAAAAATTGCTTATAAGAATTCTCAATTGCGAATCTCTATTTAGAATTTCATCATGACAAATCATTTCAAAATCGTCGCTTATAATATTTTCGAGGGTGGAGTCAATACTTCTAACCCTACCGACAATGAACAACCTTCCAATCGGCTTAATGCTATTGCCGCTTTTCTGCGAAGTTTAAATGCAACATTGATCGTTCTCACTGAATTGAATGGTTTTGACAGTTTACGGTTTTCAGAATTTGCCAATCAATGGAACCATCAACATACCGCTTTTCTTACTGCCTCTACTGGTTATCATCTTGGAATTTCATCATTATTTCCACTGATTGAACTTGCTCAAGTAAAGCATGGCATGCATCATGGTGCTCTCCTAGTCCAAGTGAATTTGGATGATGAAAGGAAGATTGGCCTAGTGGCAACTCATTTAAATCCATTTGCGGCGACAGCTCGAACAATCGAAGCAAAAATGATCACGGATCAAATAAAAAAACAAGATCTGCAAGATTGGATCATCGCAGGAGATTTGAACTCGTTATCAGAATGTGATGCTGCCTACTACGAACCAGCGACGAAGTTCAGTGGTACTAACAAGCTGAAAGCCAAATTTTTGACTCCCGATTCAAACTCAATCGACTACACAACTCTGAACCATTTCATTCAACAAGGATACATTGATACTCTCAGCAAGTCTGATAAATTTAGATCGAGCGTCCCCACAAAATTGAAAGTAGATCCGATGCATGCTTTACAGATGAGACTTGACTACATCTTAGCAACGAAAACGTTAACAGAAAAATTGATCGAGGCGAATATTTTGGATAACGAAAACACTGCGTTTTTGTCTGACCATTATCCCGTTATGATTTCCTTTTCGATATAGAATTACATACGAAATAAAATACGATACAACATACTTTCTTTTTTTTTAGCTATTTTAAGCAAACAAAGACAAACTGGTCCGACAAATCGATTAAGATGTTCTGTAATCCACAGAAAGAAAATGTGTATGTTGAATATTTGAGCTCTATGAGAGACTGTGAGATAAGATTTAGATATAAAAATTTTGTGAAACTTCCAAAGTTTAATATGTCACAGATGTTTCCATTACAAGTATGTTTATCCTATAAGGATTGTCCTGAAAACTTTTTTATTGCTAAAAAATGTAGAATAATTTTGTTGTCTTCATTGAAGTTTTATACAAAAAAAATGATTCCTCTTTTAAAAAGAAGAATCCATTGAGTCTAAACATAACGAGTAGAAATATCGTGTTGTTGCAATCCGAAACACAAGAGTTCTCAATTTTTCTTGTATTTTCGATTTTCGACAATCATTCTTATCTATCAGTGAAATTCACCTGACAAGTTTCAATTACGAAGAACATGGAAAGAAGGATTGTTCTTCTTCGTTCATCATAGCCATAATGATAAACGAACAAAGAAGGATTGTTCTTCTTCGTTCATCATAGCCATAATGATAAACAAAAGTCTTTCGTGAACTGAAACAGTTTTTGCCAAAACCCAATTCCCTAGTCCTTTGTCTCTTATCAACTTTATTATTATATTAATCAATTGAGTAGAACGAAAGGATGCTCGTCATAGAATAAGAGCACAATCCAATTATAAACAATGCTCCATTGGATAATAAATAAAAATGAATGTTGGACAAATATCCTGCGAATACAATCAACACAAAATGTTAACGAAAGAACCAATTAAAAATGCTATTCATTAAATTTGTATTGATTCAAAACTATCTAAAATGTATGTTAGTAAACCATATAAATTGCTACTTACAGAAAAATCGAATACTGCACAAGGACTATTCTAATAAAATAATTTTGTCGTTTCAGAAAGTTGTAGAAAAAAACTTGACCAAAATAAAAAATAGCACGAAGAATTTAAATAATAAGATACGAGAAAGTAAATGAATATAACGAAACTTGTCGAATTGTTATCTTTATTTCAAAGAAGAATTATATCAATAATGATCAGTTCGACAAAGATGTTTATCACGTTTTCTTCCAGTATCTCTTCATAAAAATGTCCAGCTTGATTCAAAGCAAACCATGGTCGACAATCGATGTCGAACATTGATCGATGCAAGAAGACAATAAGAAATTAATCTTTGTTCATTTTCTTCGAATAAAAAATGTGCTATGCTGACATTTGCTCACAAACAATATGAACTTCTTCTAAGGATTGAATGGAAGAATCCTAGAAAATCGATGAAATCAGAAATTTTAAGATAGTTTCATGGATTAATAATTTAATTCGATTAATATAATCGTTCTCTGTTCAACTATGATGATGATTTCTTAAAATCCAGCACAGACCATTGAAATGATTGATTGTTGATTTTATTGACCAAATAGTTGCACTGACTCGGATTTTATTCAAGCGTTGAAGAAATTTTCAAGAGAAAAAATCAAAATTATATCAATTTATGCTCAATCACATTTCTTCTTTCCTCGTAAGAATTAAAAGAACTTTCACAAGTCTGTCACGTATTCATCAATAAAGTCATTTTATGATGATAATTGACATACAATTTTTTCTAGATTAATTAATTCTTCTCATCAACCGACGCTTCTGTAATGTAATTTAACAGTGTTACACCAATTAAAACATAAGAAAACTCTCTGAAAGACTGAAAAGTCAGCTCCATTGTTTCACTTATATCTCTGCCGTATTTTGCTCATTTCATTCGAAATAGCACATAAAAATGAACGAAAATATTGACTCTTGGTATCAAAAAGAACTTTCTTCAATTGTAACTCGTTTGTCAACATAACAAACTAATCGAGAAAATAAACAGATATCGAGCTCTTGTGTCTTTACAGATTGCCTTTGATGCTGTCGTAGGATATGCACATTATGCTAAAACAACATATTTTGTGTTTTTTTTGAGCATACATATGTAAGACTCTTTTAATGCAGATTCTAACGAGCTATTTCTAATTTCTTTGGCACATTTTTTAGTCGATTACAAATAGAGAAAGATTATTGCAGAAAATTTTCCATCAAACGTTAAATCAATTGTATATTTTTAATCATGAATTTTGCCAATTCGTATACAAATAGTTTTCACAAAGAAAAAATAAATAATTGTTTTCAACACACTATGCATCAGATAAAAGCCATTCTTGATCATAATTCTATCAAATAAAATAACTAGCTAACTAGAATAGTATATAAAACAAATCTTACTGGTCCCTGATTAATCATATTATGTATTTGTTCTTGTAAATCATGAAATCTTCAAAAAAAATTCAATTTTTATACTCTAAAAAAAAAGAGAAATATGAATCTTACTTCGGTTTAATATTCATGTTGTATTGCATCATTGACTATCATTAACAGAGAAAAAGAATCAAATTTTTTATTTATTTTAATCATCAGAAACATTATGACTTGTAAATTCTTCTCGAGCTTTCCTTTCACTTAAATCAATTGAATCCATGGAAATTTTCACAGGTAACTATAAAATCAAAAAAAGAAAAAAAAGCGTTGATGAACTGATTATATAAAAATATAAATGCTAATACAATCCCTATGCGATTAATATATGAAACACACTTACGAATGTACCCAGACCAAGAGTCTCGGTACATCTCTAAACACGACGTAGCCGCCATTGTTAATCCTCGGATATATCGTTTTATTCTATTTATTTTACAGTACATTTCAAAACAATCCTTTGCTTATGGATTAAGAATTGGAATTAGGAGCTAATATTGATTTCTAATTAAAAGAAGGCTAAGTATTGCTGATATGATTTTTGATAGGAACTAGATATAAATCTCCAGTTTCCACCGTTTAAAAGAGAGAATGAAACTGCATCCAATCTTATAAATACTAGACTTTTCTAGTCAGTTTTTTTGGTGTCATTAGTCAACGATTCTGCTTCACTACTAAAAATTAAAATTCAAAATTTTTTGCATTACACAGTGTTTTCTGTTTTAGAAACTTGATAGGTGGGCCTAAAAAAATTTGTCAGATAAATCTAATAGTTAGGGTTCGATGCAGTTTCATTTTCACTTTTAAATGGTGAAAACCGCTAATCTCTGTCTAGTGCCTATCAAAAATTATTCCAAACTAACTCACTTTTCCTCTAATTTGACATGGATATTAGCTCGTATATTACAATCAGACTTTATCGATGTCCTATCTTCGAACATGTATTAACAATGTCTTGTAGGGTCAACAGCGAGCCTTCAGATTATCTATTGTCATCAGTAATGGGTTTCTTCCAGCTTGTCTGTCACAATCTTCAGATAGAATGAGATGATCTATTTTCTTGGCTTTATCCTTCAACACTACTTTCAATCATTATTGACAAAACATCATTCATTAGATATTAATTAGCTGTTAATTCGTTATCTACACAAAATGTCTGTGACAGTCAATGAAAGAAATAGGTCTAAACTTCTACCCAATTAACTTCGACACTTCTTTTAGATAGTGTTTTAGAAAATATCGTGTCGTTGTTTTTGGTGATAATATTGAATTTGTTTCGATTATATAACGAATAATACTATATAGATAATAAATTGTATTAAATGTTGGTGGTAATGGAAGTTTATTTTATTCATAAATAGGTAACAAATATTGATAATTCTATATTGGATTAAATTGTATTTGAACATTTTGAATTGTAGCACTGAAAAATCAAAATAAAATATATTTACATTTATTAATAATTTTTTCTTCTTACTTAAATAAAGCAATATGTAGGTTAAGAAGAAGTACATTAGAAACAGCGACAAACAGTATAGTTAATATAAAAGCTACAACAGAATACGCATTTGTACCATCTAAAAGAAGGAGAGAATCTCTTGTTATTAAATATTTAATTTTAGTCATATTTACCAGTTGGATCTACTTGTCCAAAAATTTTCCAAACACCAAAATTTGTAACATCACGTAATAATGGCTATGTTCATAAATCACTTCCATCATTTGATAATGACTCATTGAATAATGATCCATCACTATTACAATTCCAACAAAAAATATTAGAATAAAAAAAATAAAAAATCTTTTATCTTTTATCTTTTAATAAAAAACGAAAATGTAATAAATAGATTAATTAAATCATCAAGTATTAATCATGTTAAAAATCACAATTAATTTCGGTCCTCATTTTTCAAAAGCAGAAAATAGTTCTAATATACAAATGTATACGAAAGTATCAAATCAAGACATACGAATCTTCTGAAAAAAAAACACGAATTCAAAAATAAATAGATATTGTAATTCAAAAGTAAATATAGTACAACTTATTTTGATACAACAAAAAGTTGTTCAAGAACAATAAATCTTGTAATAGAACTAATATGATATAAAATAGTTGCAATCATATTGGATGTGGGTGTGGGTGTAAACTGTAGGTTTTACAAGGAGTGAACATCCAGCCCTACACACACTACCGACAAACAAAAACATCCACTCGTATTCATATCAAATTGTTAAAACACCGTTAACAAAGGTAAGCTTGGATGTTATTTCCATCTTATACCTCTTATAATCAACATTTATCGTATTAGAAGAAATAGGGAAAAGTATAAAGAATATTAGTTTAGTCTAGAACGTCAACAACAACATCTATTAGTAGTTGCGATACTAACTAGAAGTCTACCAAATTCAAGCCATTCGAAAGTTTGATTTAGGTTAGGTGTAATAATTTTCGTTTTAGATTTTGTCCAACTATCTGAACTCACCAAACTATTTGAGCTTAGGTATAATTCCGCTTTTCTCTTTTCCCTTCTATATATTCAAAATATTATTTTAATATAAATATAAGTGAAAACATATATCGATATTTCATATTATCAAATAGCCAACTTAAACTATTTGGTAAATTTAAGTATTCGAACAATATCACATCTGTTGTTTGTATTCATTTTTCGACGTGCCTTTCTACGTTTTTGTTGTGAATCGTGCTAGTTTTGAGACAGAAATGGTCACTAGATATTGTCACAAGCATGCGATAACGAAGCGTTGTTTTGCTTGATAGTTTTATCGCCGAACTTTTTAAAATATCTTTCTTGAGCAAAACGAATCGCCTCTTACTATTCTTTTTCAGAAAATGATACTTGAAATGTCTTGTTAGCATTGTTTGGAGTGACTCAATGTGCTCTATTCTACCGTACGTTGATAAAGAATGATTTGTTCTATCAATGATTCGAACATATATATATCGTTCGATGAATACTCTCAGCTACTGATTTCGTTCTCTCTGTCGCTCTACTAATGCAAACATCGCAAAGTAAGAAGGAAAGAAATATCGTGGTCGATGGATTGTTCGTCTTCATGATGAAGGACTTTTCGCGTTTAGTTATCTGTAATGACGAGAGAATAAGAGAAAAAAAAATCAAATAATCAATTATTGAGTGTACGTATGATGAGACGATTGAACAGTAAGTGAAAAATCTTACAAATAATCTTCTTCTATTAGAGATTGTTATTTTCATAGAACAGAAAGACAGTTTTTCTTTTCTCTTCATCGCGTTAAGTATTTTCCTAGGATATATATCATAATGATTTTTTTCTACCATGTAAAAATACTTAGGTCATATCAAAGTGGTTGCGGAGCTATATCAATTTCTTACAGAATGCTGGAAGAAATTCTTCTTGTAAATAGACTGATACTAAAAACAAAGCTCTACATTTCTACCTTATTTAATCATTATGCATTAAATATCACAATAATAAAGTTTCCATAAGGTCTGTTTAGCTATGATATGTAAAGATAACATTAGTTCATATTATATTGAATACACGCTCTGCTCTTGATTTTATCCTTGTTTTTGAGGGTAAGGATGAGGCTGAGAATTTCACGAACTCTTTGAATAAATAAACGTATAAAAAGTTTTGATACATGGATTCAACAAATGCCATTGTGTGTAGATAACCGAGGCGACTATTTTGTACACTTAATGAGAGAAAAACTTGTTGAACTTGTTTCTGTATTCCTGTTTTTGTTGTATCGTCACTACTTTTTGTATATTTTGTACGTGCATAGACCGTTGGGCATTAAAAGAGACAATAAAAAAAAGAATAAGGAAAAGACAGGAGAAAAACAAAGAAAAAATCAAGATGGAAAAAACACATCGAAGACGATATGAATTGATATTATTGTCACACAGCATAGCTAAACAGACCTTATGGACATTTTATTATTATGATATTTAATGAATGGTGATCAAATAGTGTAGAAATGTAGAGCTTTGTTTTTAATAACAGCCTATATAAAAAGAGAATTTCTTCCAGCATTCTATAAGAAATTGATATAGCTCCGTAATTACTTTTGGTATGACCTAAGTAGATAGTAGTATCAATCATTGAGGAGAAGACACCCTAGTAATGGAAGAAGGGGAGAAATGCCCATATCGAACCGAGTGATGACGTTCTTTGTACCAGTGGAGAACGGTTTATCACTAACTATTGGAAACATAAGCAATATATTATTCGCACGTCATAGATATACGCATACAGACGCACATATTTATATCCGAATTATTATAAAGCTGTTAACAAAGATAAACTTGGATGTCATTTCCTTTTTGTCCTTTTTGCAATCAACATTCATGGTATTAGAAGAAATAGAAAAAAGTATAAAGAACTTTAGTTCAGTCCAGTACTTCAATATCAATATCTATTAGTACCTGCAATATTACTCGAATATATACCAGATCCAGACCATTTGGAAGTTGGATTTAGGTTTAGTCAAATAATTGTAGGTTCGGATGTGATACTAGTACCTGAACTCACTAAATTATCTCAGCCTTAGTATAATTCCGTTCCTCTCTCTTAGCCTACATATATATTCAAAACATTTTCTTTTATACACTACGAGCAAAAACATATTTCAATGTTTCAAAGTGTCATGTATCAAAGTCAAATTATTTTGTGAATTCAATTACTCAGCTAATATCAGAGATTCTTCTTGCATTCACTTTTTCTGGATGCTTCTTTGCGCTTTAGGTTTAAGCATAATATTTGCTTCACCGTTATATTCACAATTATATCGAAATGCCTACTTATAGAGAGTATTCATAAATAGAAGACAATTTTCTGATTTCAGCTCTGATCCAAAAAGACCATTAGAGTAAGGATGAAGTTGTTCTAAATAGAGAGGATTACATAAAGTCATCAACAAACCAGTAGTTCTCTCTCTAATAGGGATTTCTTTTCCTATAATTAATCAACCAATATCGCTGGGATAAGTCGAAGAAAAATATACATTAGAAGACCGAATCTCATAGTCGGCTCTTTAAAATTATTTTTTATGCAGTGTAATTTTGTTTTTGAGCCCATTTATGCCTGTTTATATCTAGGCTTGATCAAGATAATATTTTGCGTCTATCATGTTAGCATTGTATTCGTTCTGAGTGGAACCATGTATCAGAGAAAACTGATAAACAAACTTTGAAGGATGCTCTGAAAAGCTTTTTTGTTTATTCTTCATAAAAAATGCATTACCACATTTATTGAACATGATTAACACGAAACGTATCACTTTAAAAGAAGTTTTACTCTGATAGAAACACATTCATTAGAAACTTGTTTCATATAATTGAAATGGGTGTTCTGACAATTTACGTTTTGGCTGAATTCGATCGTGTTCCTGACTCAAAAGACTAAATTCCTTTATGATAGAAACATGTGTCAGAGAGTACATGTTCAGACAAATGCTATGATGCGTGCATTGTATGTCTAGGAATCCATTTCTATTCGCAGAAAAAATGCAACAGTATTTTTCGAGATGTAAAATCAGATTAAAAATATTAGATAGAGTTGATACAGTCACCATTTTCTATTAACTGTGTCTTCTCAGACAAGTGTATTTAGTCAAGCAAGCGATGAAATAATTACTGAGTTTGTGATACATTTCACTTTATATGAATTCCATCTATACTGATCAAATATAATATCGATGACAACCAACTGAATTCTCAATGTATACGCTACTACTTCAACATTGAGTACATCGAGAACCTCCTAACGCTCATCCTCACGATCAAAGCAGACTACTGCAAACATTCGATAAACAAGTGAAATAGCATTATTTAACCCTGCATAACACGATATTTGCCGATGAAGAACTACATCAGGTAGCGAGTGGAAGCATCTAACATTTTCGCCATGATATTTAATGTCTACATTGTATTATTTTCCCGAATCATCACTACAGTAGGTCACCTTCATTTCGCTACTGCAGGACATGTCTTAGAGATAAAACATTCTCCCACAATGTTTCTATTTCATTAACCATGATCTTCATACTGTCCTCTGATTCTTTCCTCGACGCAGCACTCTTGACTGCTACTGACGAATAAAAACCTATGTGTAACTTTTGATTCGAATAAAATATGAAAAAGACATTGAAAGATGACAAACTATAAGCCTCAAGTTCATGCCCATTAACGACCTATACGATGAAGAGTCCTTCTTTCACTGTGGTTCACACTACTTTAGAGTGTGAGTGTGGGTATGATGTGGACACAAACATCCCACACCCACACCCTTTTCTATTCTCTTTTTGGGGTGACGAGAAATACTATACATCACGTTTTGTAGAGCAGCTCAAGATCTATCAAATGACATGTCACTCGATTTGATTGAAAAAAATTAAGAAACAAAATTAAGAGAACATGATGCATCGAGTTTTAGCGCTTTTTAAGGGGAAAATTGGAAGCATCTTAGATAGTATCATCCTAGCGAGCTAGGAATAGATCTCAGAACCACCATACTGTGGATTACTGTATAGCATGGATTGGCCTAACTTATTATCGGTATCGGATCAACGTTAAAATCCGTTTACTTTCGTGTTTTTGAAATATCTGCTTTTCTCATGCAGCGTGTCTTAAGTTTGATTTATCTCAGAAATGGGAAAACAGAAAATCCATCTTAAAGCTTCAACTCTTTGTCACACAGGTTCTCTCAACATGCCGAAAATCAAAAGCGTGCCTATTAAGGGTGTGGGTGTCCTTTCAGGAGAGCAACACCCACACCCACACCC